GTTTTAATGACTGGTAAGAAGGGGGGGTCGTGATTGATTAGGACAAATTACAGGCACATAATATCAACCCCCCTCTTTTCCCAGACATAACTTTACTATAGAAAATGTAATGTTCATTGAAACTGTACAGCCCCCCACCCCCACTTCTTGTTGAAATATAGTCCACCATTCAATTTATATGACTCGTATCTTTAAAATGAAGGCAAATTCTTTGAAATCTATTTTGCATGAAAAACTATAAAGGCGCACAATGTACGTATCACCCCGTTTTTCTTGTCGTATTTTTTACAATTCCGAAATGCATAATAGGTAATATCTTAAAAAGTCTTTGTGTGAAAATGTCGTAATTCGAATATTTTTAAATAAACTATTCATCTCTTTATTTTAACAAAGAAAAAAGTATACCTTTATGATATAATTAACGAGAAAAATGACGTTTTCTTTTATTTTCGTACTCTTGTGTCATAAATTTTGACCTTTCTGCACTAAAATAAAGGTAAATAAACACCGACTAACATCTGAATATAAAATTATTTTGCGAAAAACGAGTATTTTAATTTGATTTAGAAACCATTTAAACAGATTAATTCTTTTCTTCTTCATTCTAATCATTCTGCCCCCCTCCCCCCATTTCCCCATCAACAACCAACACCTATTAGAATCTAGGAATGACTTTATACAATAAAATCTGCATGTACTACAAATCAATAAGCAAATAAACGTACAAGCACATTTCTAAATTTTTTCTTAGTTTTAAAATGGTAAACATGATATTAAACGATATTTCCCTGATTTAAGCCGCTTTCTTTGCTGAATTTTATCTTAAATCTTTTGCACTTATATATATCAGCATATCATCAGGGTATTTCTTCACAACTTAAAATGCTATGAATTATCTACCAAAGGAAGAGAATTCTAATATACATAACTTTATAAATCAAATAAGACTGTAATTAATGATGAATTAATTTTTTTTGTAAATTGTGTATTTTATTGATTAATAAAAATGTTATTCCTTTATCACTATTGCAAAAGTCAACCGGTAAAAAACAAACGTCGCTATTGTGACGTCACATAACGCTGCTTTGACGTAGAACGACATAGGTCCCCCCTTGATTCACAGTCGCAGTGTTAAGGTTTTGCATGTTTCAAGATTGTCAATCATTTGTCGCTTAAAGTTTTCATTTCAAGATGTCATTCCGAAATCGCCGAGAATCTCTTCTACGACAGTTTTTTCTCCCGCCATTTTAGTGCTTGCGGAACGCGGAAAATACGTTATGCTCATATAAAGGCCGAGGATACCCGCGTTCGCATAACGTAATAGTGAATCGACATAATGTAGAAGAGTGCGCACAGTATGGCATGAGCTTTTCACATCAGTTAATAAAAACTAAGATTGTCATGAAAAGTAAACATAACGAAATGCAAGTTGACGAAATAAAATTGTAGTACAGGTGTATGTGTAAATGTCATAAATAGTTGATATAATGTAAAGGAAAGTTAACACGATGCAATAGTAGTGTGGGTTAATGTCATAAAGAGTTGACATAATGTAATGGAAGGTTGGCACAATGCAATAGTAGGGTGGGTTAATGTAATAAAGAGTTGACATAATGTAATGGAAGGTTGACACAATGCAATAGTAGTGTGGGTTAATGTCATAAAGAGTTGACATAATGTAATGGAAGGTTGGCACAATGCAATAGTAGGGTTGGTTAATGTCATAAAGAGTTGACATAATGTAATGGAAGGTTGACACAATGCAATAGTAGTGTTCTGCTATAAGGCAGTGACGGCGTTCCATATACATAAGTCAGAGCTTAGCGTAAACGTAAATGTGCAGTTGTAGCAGATTTTCATGACACAGTTTACATGTATTAATGCAGAGAGCCATTATTTTAACAGTTATTTAGATTTCTATTCAGGAAATTAATTTTCTTCAACTGTTTAGTTCTTGATAGATCTATCATGTTAAATTTATCAATTTTGTTAAAGCCGTTTTCTTTGAACCTTTCTTTCGGCCGGTCTTCTACTTGTAGTTTTTTTTTCTAAGATATTAAATAAATATTTAATTGCAATTTTTGGATACATCGCAGATTTTAAGCTTTAGACATTAAATACAAATATTTAATTTATTGTGTAAATTTCTTCCGTGAAATAACTTGGTACTTGTAGATAAAATTATTAGATATAAAATTAAAATGTATATTTTTTCATAAATAATAAATCTGTTTATAGAGTTTCAAAATTCACAACCTTGAGAAGAAATAATAAAAAAAAAAAAACCAGTCTCCATTTCATACTAATCCATTTAATCACTGTCATTTTTTTATATAAATAAACAACTTTTGTAAAATTACCACAGAGATCTCAAGTTCTTTTTATAATAATTTAATGTACTTTATAGTTTAGATTTGAATCTCTGCAAGTATTTAAATTTAAATATAATCTTACTTAAATAATCTTTAATCTTTCAATTTAAAATAATCTTTTCGTCTTGTCAGAAAACGTTCTGCATTTTGAAACAATCCTATCAGGTTTTGCGTTTATCCTATCGTGAAGATCGTTTATCAGGTCTATCGTGTTTTGCGTTTATCGTGTTTTGCGTTTATCCTATCGTGCGTGTATCCTTTCCTATCGTGCGTGTATCCTATCGTATCGTGCGTGTATCCTATCGTATCGTGTATCCTGTAAAGAATAACTATGCGGGTACTGTAACTCTAAGCGTAGATGCGTCTATGAAGGGACTAGGAGCAGCAATTATTCAACAGAGTGGAGTTGTTGCATACGCCTCAAGAGCCTTTACCCCTGCAGAACAGCGTTATGCACAAATAGAAAAGGAAATGCTTGTGGTAGTGTTTGGCTGCGAAAAATTCCACAAGCTTCTGTATGGCAAAAGTGACGTGACAATTGAATCTGATCACAAACCTCTAGAAACTATTTTGCGCAAGCCGATACCATCTGCACCGATGCGTATTCAGAAGATGATGCTGAAACTTCAGCCATATGAGTTTCGTCTTGTCTATGTGAAAGGAAAAGATAGTCGTCTACCTCTACCAGATACTTGTCAGTCAATGGATGATGAAATGATGGTTTTCAAAGCAGATACATTGACGAGCAGCAAGCATGATGTGATTGCAGAAGCTACCAAACGCGATGATCAGCTGCAAATGTTGAAGAAGGTCATTAGTGACGGATGGCCTGACAGAAGAGCTGATGCGCCATTAGAGGTTTTACAGTTTTGGGACTCCAGAGATGAACTCTCAACATATAATGGTGTGATTTACCATGGAGAACGCATTGTAATTCCAGTAGAGCTGAGACCATCTATATTGAAAACTATTCACAGCTTGCACATGGGGATGCTGAAATGCAAACAACGGGCAAGAGAACTGGTTTATTGGCCTGGAATGAATAAGCAGATAGAGGACGTGGTGAGCCGTTGCAGCATATGTCTACTTCATCAAAACAGACCCCAGAAGGAGCCTATGATAATACACCCCTTACCTTCCTTACCATGGAGAAGGTAGCCACGGATCTGTTTGAATTAGATGGCTTTCACTACTTAATTATGGTGGATTATTATTCCTAACTTCATCGAAGTGGCATCACTAAAACATGACACCACTTCAAGGAATGTTATCAAGCACCTGAAAGAAAACATTGCCAGATAGGGCATCATTGACACTTTGATCAGAGACAATGGTCCTCAGTACACTAGTGCTGAATTCAAGTCTTTTGTTGCTAGCTATTGGATTGAACATGTGACCTCTTCACCTTTAAATGCACAGTCCAATGGTCTGGCTGAGAAGTCTGTGCAAACAGTGAAGAACTTGCTGAAGAAATGCCGCGAATCAGGAGATGATGTGTACCTAGCCCTTTTACATTGTAGATTTAAGGAACACTCCTCGGGATGAGCAGATAGGATCACCAATGCAGAGATTGATGGGTCGACGAGCAAAAACGTTACTCCCCATAAGTGATAGTCTGAGGAAACCAACGACCATCAAACCAGAAGCTGTCTCATCGAAGCTGATGGCGTTTCGTCAGAAGCAGAAGTTTTACTATGATCATGGGGCAAAAGAGCGTGCCGAATGTCAGCCCAGTGACACCTTTCGTATTCATAGTCCGGATGGATGGAAGCCGGCCGAGTTCGTCGGAAAGTCAGGTGAACCTCGTTCTTATGTTGTGAAGGCAGTAAGTGGCCGACTTTACCGTAGAAACAACTGTATGCTTCTCAAGACCAAGGAAGAGCCGCATGTGATTTCAACCCAAGAGTGTGACATACCAACGGTGAATGTTACATAGCGTGCACGACCGAAAACTGAAATAACAAAAACATGCTTTTACCGAAGCAATCTGCTTCCCCTACAAGTAAACCGACTGTTGACAGTGAACAGATCCAGAGAACAAGATCGGGACGAGAGATAAAGAAACGTATTTGGAAAATTGTTTGACTACCTAAATTGTTTTTAGTGATGTTGCACATGTTACTGTGGCTTTATGAGATGTTTAATGAAGATATGTGAAATCTCAATTGGCACATGTATTATTGGTTTCATTACATGTTCTTTTAATATTTAATCTGTTTAATAAGCATAATTACTAAAAATGTTTTAGGTCAAGCAATTTGAAAAATTCTGGCAATGTATGTTCTGTGAAATTCAATTTTAATTGATAAGATTGTGTATTAGATTTTTTTATTTAAACAAAAGATGATGTAATAGAATTGTCTTTTGTACGAATTATCTAATTTTTTATGTTGTGGAAACTCTCCTGGTTGGGGAGATAATAAATTGGTAATCAGCGTGGCTGCATGGTTGTTACATCTATTACACATACTATAAGCTCATTTGCATATCATTGTCCAAAACTAGCTTAACTTACCAGCGATGCTTAGTTCATGCGTATTCGCTAGGGATTATTCATACTTTGTAATATACTATGAAAAGATAAAATTTTCATAATCACAATTTATTTATGGTTATCATTAACAACAGATCTGTGCGATTTTGAGACGAGCATAGAATCTTCATGTTTCCTGACAGAAACAAACAGAGATATCTTCAACTGGACTAGACACTCAGTATGTACAGTATTTTTATGCGCCCGGATCGATAGATCCAGGGCGTATATTGTTTTTCTTCTGTCTGTGTGTCTGTTTGTTTGTTTGTCTCGAACTTTAAGAAGGATATGGAGATAACGAACAGTATTCAATCTCAAAGTCCATAACAGAATACAAATTAAGAGCAGAGCAAACACGGATACCCAAAACATCAGAAATGGGATCAGGTGCCATGGAGGAGTGAACATCCCTTGCCGACCGGGCACACCCGCCGTGTGCTCCTTTTCAGGATCAGGAAATATCGGAAAAAATCCGTCGTCAATTCAGTGTATAAATAATGGACAAACTATTGGTATGAAAAACGTCAGTCAGCATTTGACTCAATGATAAATTGTATTTGCTGACAAGGTCATTGTATCGACGGTAGAACTTACGAAATGATGACTTTAAACGAGACTCCTGATATTCTTGTTTCATCAACTTGCTTGTCAATAATTTACCTAGTTTTAGAAATTGTTCATACGTAGTTCATGCTCCTGTGTATCGAATCAACTCAGATATATATACTCCGTATGCAGGTGATGAAGGAATATTGCTGCATAAGTAAGGGAAGTTGACGATAGAAAAGTTAAAGTCATTACGTTTATCATATAGCTTGGTTGTTAGATTACCATTAGTGTCTTTTTCATGTAAAATATCCAAGTATGAAGCAGAAGTGTCGGATTCTGTGGTATCTTTTATCTCAAGCTCACCAGGATGTATCGTATCGACGTAGGAATGGAAATTACCATTATTAATTGACAATACGTCGTCGATATATCTAAATGTCGACATGAAGGCCACAGCAAGTGTTTTCTTCTTTTCACACATAAGATTCTGCATAAATTCTGCTTCATATGAATATAAAAAATAAGTCTGCTAATAACGGAGCGCAATTTGTACCCATGGGATTTCCAATAGATTGTTGGGATACCTGGTCTCCAAAAACCACATAGATGTTGTCAATCAGAAACTCAAGCATCTTCTTGATGTCAACTTCAGAGTACTTATGTGTGCAATCAGAATCTGTTTTAACAAAATAATTTTGTAAATGACCAATGACGAGATAAGTAAATTTACGAGTTCCATTCTTATTGAAGAAGCAGCTGTCAATGATATCAAAAAGCCTGTCTGTTTTTGTTCTGTCTGTCTGTCTGTCTGTCTGTTTGTTTGTTTGTTTGTTTGTTTGTTTGTCTTGAACATTAACCTTCTCCATAATTTTTGAACCATGAAAGATAGAGACTTCATATTTGGTATGCATACTCAACTAATTAAGTTATTTCAAATGAAACCCAGGTAAATGGCATTGTGACCTTAACTGTGACCTATATGTTAAAAATAGTTTTTTTTCTGCAAACTATAACCTTCGCCATAACTTTTGAGCCTTGAAAGACAGAGACTTCATATTTGGTATGCTTACTCCACTAATTAGGTTCTTTCAAACGACACCAAAGTCAATGACCTTGTGACCTTTACTGTGACCTTAATGCTAAAAATAGCTTTTTCCGAATTCTGTTTCCGCTGGGCGCATAGTGTTTCACAAACACATCTTGTTACCTAACACTTCGTATGAAACACGTCGCATAAAATTAGACCCAATATGATAGGTTATATTTGTTAAATTCGTTATAACAACCATAGGACTTACGAAATTCTTACTCTAAAGGAGGTTGTTAAAATCCATGTAACTGTTATTTGTATGATCAGTATTTTGAAGCACATTAAAGCATTTTAATCTACATGTAGTTTGGTTAATACTTGTTCAAATCATGGCTCCTGGATCGAGGGTAAGATGGTATCAGAACATGCGAACTAGCATAGATATTTTTTTATTTATTTTTTCGTACTATATATTAAAAAGTCAATATAAGTATCATATTGCAAGAAAGTTCAAATTCCCATTTCTGTAGAAAAGGGTCCCTGAGATTACCTTAAGGATCACAATCAAGAAACACAATGGATCACACATTTTCAAAATAGATTGCAATAAAACTGTTTTAAAAACTACCAAGTAATCTTTAACCTGATTAATGAGCAAAAAACGCGTACGTTTTATTAACTCAATATCAAAGACCTATATATAATAAACTATTTTGCCAATACGACCACTGTGAAGTATAATACAGTTATTGGCTGGGTATGAGGGCATTATATGATTTGTTGGACCTTAAGGCAAAAAATGTCGCCCGAAACCGCAGGACCTAATATTGAAAATGTTGCCCGAGGCCGCAAAGCTGATTATAAAAAAGCGTAAACTGACCCAAACCAAGTTATCATCGAATAATTTGGCCAAGAATTTAAGAGTCAATTCTTATAATTTAATTTTTACATAATTAAACAACTGTGGGTGTAAAATTTGGCTGTCTTTTATGAGTTCAAATTTGCCGCTCAATAATACATCCCTAGTAACGGAAGTGATTTGAAACAAGGGGACGTAATAACTGATACACAGATCTAGCAGCCATGATGTTTATTTACACGAGGTAAGAGCGAGCTACAGTTTGAAGTTAATTAAAGGTACATTTATTAAATCTGGAATTTTCCATGTAATCCCATGGACTGGAAATGTGGGGATTGCATAGATACAGATGAATCAGCTGGTTGTCAAGGGGGTGTGTCCCCATACCAAACCAGGTTATCAAAAAATGATTTGCGTTCCTTTTTGGAAATCAACCAATGAGAGGCGAGAATATAAACAAAATTAAATTATTGTGAGATGAACTCAAGTATGCGGTATTATCTTTAGCTTTTAATTATGATACTGAGATTAAGATTGAATAAGTTGAAGAATCAGAGGGCCATGTGGACAGTAAGTAGATCTAAAAATTCCTGTGGTATGACGAATCAAATTTTAGCTCCTATAAAGCAGTTTTCCTATTAACCAAATACGGCTTTATTTTTTTTACAAAGAGGAATATAAAAATTCAAAAGAACAACTGATGAACAGCAGATTCAATTTTACTCGGGTGAAAGTTGTGGCATACAAACTTTTTTTCTAGCAAGCACTGAATTCACTATCTGTAAATTGTGCAATATTTAACAATGTCATGTTTCGTAAAATCTAGAGTCGTAAAAGCCAATTTGCATTGAGATTCAAAGGGCATCACATCATCTTATCTAACGGTAAACATTTAACAATCATCTTCACGATGTCAAAGTTGTGTCATGTTGTAAATTTTGAATTTACTAGGGAAAGATAAATGCAAATTTAAAATTTACAATATTATTGTTTTGTAATAGCGTTCCTCTACAAATACTGTCTATCCGCATTATTTAACATGATATACATCATCGATATATTCATTCCAAATCACAGGGGACAACAAGTTCTGTTAGTACTGGTCCTAATAGCGCTAAGGTCGGTACCTACTACAAGTACATAGAAACATCCTCACCTCGAGTCACCGGGGACAACGCAAAATTGGTCAGCAATAGAGTGTTTGAAGGTATGTCTGAATTAGACAGGTGTGCGCAAGAGCACAAACAAAATAACCAACACATGGTATTAATGTTTTTTTGACTAATTTTGCCCTCGCAATGAAGCTGGACGATATAGTGTAATCTCCTATATGTTGTGTGTTGGGGGATGGGAAGTGGAAAGAGGGGCGGGGGGGGGGGGGGGGGTAAGTGTTTAAGGTAAAAAAATTACCGCGTTTAAATTTCAGACAAAACATACTGTCTTTCCCTGTACTACCACTTGCACGGATCAACGACCGGAACTCTGAAGATTCAGACCAGGACCGGAAATGACACGGCAGTGACTCATTGGGAAAAGTCAGGTGACCAGGGCAACCAATGGTACAGCATTGATAAACTCAACCTCCCTCTGAATAACAACACGGAGGTAAAGTAATTTCATTAGAAATATTTGTTTCATCCCATAAAGCTAATAATTTTGGATGCACAATCGTTTGATGAAAATTGAAAACCAATGCAGGAATTGAGAAACAAACTTTGGTTAAACTTATATTCCTCTTTATTTATGAACACAGAAGTGGTTTTTGTTTTTTATTTATTAATGATCCATGAAAAAACCCAGTGATTACCGTCTAAACAGAATTTTTAGCGAGGATTTAATTTTGGCATTATTAGCGAGGGTTCTGACATGGCTGAACTTGAATATCGCTAAGAATTAATAGCGTATTATTTGTAATAGCTTCTTTAGTTAGCATTTTAAAATCGCTAAAATTACTTCTCGCTAAAAATAAAATACCAGATTTTAAAGCTGACATGAACTCTTAAAAAGCCATAATTTTTCATCTTTGTACGACTTACTACATTCCTGTACGCCTTAGTCCGCCATATTTCTTCGATTCCGCCATTTTTGTCCCCCGCTTGAAAAGTGGGGGATATTAATTTGGGTTTGTCCGTCCGTCCGTCCGTCCGTCCGTCTTTCTGTCTGTCTGTAACGCTTTCGTTTCCACACGATATCTCAAGAACCCTTTGAGTTTTTGCAATGAAATTTAGGATAGCAACTCCCTATGGACTAAAGAAGACCCCTATTGATTTTGAGGTCAAAAGGTCAAAGGTCAAGGTCATAAATAAGCAAATTCTGTCTGTTAAAACACTTTCGTTTCCACACGATATCTCTAGAACCATTTGAGCTATTGCAATGAAATTTTATATAGCAACTCCCTGTGGCCTAATAAAGACCCCTATTGATTTTGAGGTCAAAAGGTCAAAGTTCAAGGTCGTAAATTTATACATTCTGTCTGTGTGTAATACTATCATTTCCGGGCGATATTTCAAGAAGATTTTGAGCTTATGCAATGTAATTTTATACCAAAACTTCCTAGGACGTCTCTCGCCCCTCTCAAAGTGCCCTGCCCCGTTTGTTTTATTAATATTTATAGTATTACATGTCGCTATTTTTAGCCC